GACGGGAAGGGGATGCCCCAGACGGGAAGGGGATGCCCCGACGAGCGGTCACACTTCCCCGACGAAATCAAAGTAGGCGTGGTCGAGCTTCGATTAAATTTTGTTCATTTAGGAGTTTAAAAGGCTTATTTAATCGATTTTAGAGTCTACTAAAATGTAGAAAATACATATAATTTTTTTTATCTCCCCGACGAATTGTGCTTTTTCTCCCCGACAGGTAGGCCTACTGCTATCTCGTGTTAACTCAAGCATTGGTCTTAGAAAGTTCTAACAATGGAGAATTATTGAAACGAATGCCTACCAGAAACCCGCTAGATTTACACAAAAAGTACCCTTCCATTCGTGAATAATATCTAAGTTCTCATAAAAGATTTAATCGAGCATGGAACATAATGACGTCTGCCATCGAGAAGGCACAAATTGCGACATAAAAGGTAGCCTAGTTTGACCTTAAGTACAACAAATTTAGGGAGACAATTCCTATAGCTATAGGCCAGCTCCTACGTTTTGGTAGCGACGCAATTGTCGCCTATAATAAGACTATAAGAATGGAATCCTGGTATCCGATGATATTCGAAACACAGTGGATCGGTTTGAGACATGTGCTTCTGGCGTCCGTTATTTTGGTGTGTCTGTGGAAAACCGTTGTAGACAGGCGGGTTGTTAAGCTTCCACCAGGGCCTACTGGATGGCCATTCATAGGAATCCTACCAACATTGGCTGATGGTGAGCGCGTGTACAAGAAATTTACAAAGATGTCTGCAAAATATGGACCGATTTTTAGCGCTAGAATGGGCTTATTCGATTGCGTAGTGCTGAATGATTATGACATTATTCGCGAGGCAACCTGTAAGAGTGGAGACATGTTCTTAGACAGACCACGAACGCCTCTGTTTGAGATCTTAGGTGGTGGGAAAGGTGAGTAAAAGTAACACCCAAAAGTACAACCATCACCACATATTCGTCGATAGTTTCGTTGAGTTGTTGAGCCCTTTGCCTCATTGTATTTTTGTTTCTCACCTGGAACATTGCCGAAAATCCGATGAACTGGAGCAAAAATACAATGCAAAAGCACAGTTCGACGTATAGCGTCGTCTTCTACATTTAGAAGACCACTAACTATTCCGTATTGTATACGAGTTCATATAATTTTTGTCCCTATATTTTAAATAAAACGCTGCTAGAGGTTTCAAGAGATGTGTATAAGAGACAGTATATATATATATATGCATACGTAATAGTTTTTTTTTTATTTGTGCCCGTCTCCAAGTGAGAATGAGAGCTATTCTGATGTTTCGGAATGCATACCGGTATAAAGGTACGGTAGTGGTCTAGTCCCATGTTTGTTGTTGTCTGTATAGTAATCACTAATTGTCGTATAATTTCATTAGGTATCGGAGGGGCGTTTTACAGTGAAGGTTGGAAAGAGCATCGTCGATTCAGTTTAAAAATTATGCGTAGTTATGGAATAGGGCAAGCTGAAATTGAACCAATGATAGCGCGTGAAGCCTGGTTCCTGAACAAAGAATTTGCCAGCGAAAACGGAAAACCGTTTAACCCAACGCCATACCTCGGCAACGCTACGGCCAACATCATTTGTGCGATCATATTCGGCGACCGATTCAACTTTGACGACCCTTGGTTCGTGAAGATGATGTCAATTTTAAGCGATATGGGACATCTTTTCCGAGTCTCTGGGCCAGTCAACTGCTTCCCATTTTTGCGCCACGTCCCGTTCAGTTCGTACAAGAAACTACGGAAATTGGTTGATGACCATTATGTTTTTTTAGATAAAAAAATCAACGAGGTTAAAGAGGGATATGAGGAATCGAATCCGCGACAATTCATAGACGCGTACCTAGACGAGGTACGAAAGCGGGAAGTTGACGGATTTGTCGGAACACTCGACGAAGCACATCTAAAATTTGACATAAGTGATATGTTTAACGCGGGAACGGAAACGTCGGCAAACACACTGAAATGGGCAGTACTTTATCTGGCTCTCTTTCCTGACATCCAAGGCAGGGTTCAAGATGAGATGGACCGGGTCGTTGGCCGGAAACGAATGCCTCTTCTTTCTGATAGATCTCAACTGCCATACACTATGGCTACGTTGGCTGAAGTTCAGCGTATCGGCTGCATTGCTCCTTTGAGTAAGTCTCAATATTTATTAACATTTGCTTTGATTTATTTTTATCATCATCATCATTAATGGTGTCACATGAAAAGAAATTGCAGTTTATGCAAAATAAGATGGTCCGTTTTATTAATAATGCGGGACCGCAAAGTCATGTTGGCCAAAGATAATTAGACGAGCTTGGTTTGCTAAATATAAATGGCAGAGTTGTCCAATTAAAATTAAACCATGTATACAACATATCCAATTCTATAGGAACAGAGTATCTTAACACACATTTTATAAATGTTTCCGTAAGGCATAATTACAATACGAGACAAAGTAGAATAACCTAAAATAACCAGTCAAGTTAGTTCAACTTTTTATGTTACGGCTATACAAGAGTGGAACAAACTACCCTTTATGATCAAGTCTTCACCGAGATTAAATATATTCAAAAGTCGAGTGAAGTTAAAGGCCTATTTAGCAACAAAATCTGAAATGACAAACAATTAGTAAATTGTTGTTGTTTGTATTGTTTAATATAAACGAACTTTCTAATAAGATTTTATACTTACCGTTTTTTTACCTGCATTTTTACATTCACTTTTACGTACTTTTAAGGTTTAAGGGTTTTACTTTTTTATTACTTTTACTTACGTTAATGATTAGTAATTTTAAAGGTTTTTAACAAATTGTAATGTTTGTTTTAATTTTTAACCAACTTTTATGTAATACTTTTTATCTATGGGACCCCAACGGAAATAGATCGCTTAGGTTTTATTGAGTTATCATGAGCTGTAAATGTTTTACTAAATTAATTTTAAACTAATAATTTTTTTTTTCATTGTTCATTTTTATGTTGTATGTATTTTATTGATTTTTGCTCAAATGAATTTTAATTGGAAAAAAAGAGTGAAAGTTACCTTTTTTATTATCATGACAAAGTTACAGAATAACTTCCTTGCGATTAAATTTTAATTTAATTTAATTTAATAGTGTGTCCAACAACGATCATCTCTAAATATCATGCGAACACAACTGTCCAGTTGGTTATTTAAATCCATATACGACAATACCCCAACTTTTTTGGCTTCCAGATACACTCAGAATTACAAAAGGTATTTCACAGCTTCTACAAAATTCCGACATGCTTCTTCCATCAGTGCTTTCTAATCCTGCTAAAAAGGCACCTTCTAAATTTTTATTTATTCTCTTGCATAACATCAACGTGTATACCTTTATTCAGGTGTTCCGCATGCGGCTACTGAAGACACAACACTTCGTGGATACGACATACCAAAGGGAACTATTGTGACATTAAACATCTGGTCGGTAATGTTCGATCCAAAGACTTGGCCTGAACCCGAGAAGTTCCGACCAGAACGATTTTTGAATGACGATGGATGTTATTCGAAAAATGAGAGGCTTATTCCATTTTCGATAGGTAAATTTGATATAGACCTTATGAATTACAAGTATGGAAAGGGTAATGATATATAATTTATTAGGAACTACACTTTTCAATCAGTGGCACACTTCTCAATCAAGGTGCGTCCAAAACAAAATGTACAGTAAAGTTCACAAAAAAGACTTATGCTAAGAAAACGACAATTCAAAATTTC